GCAAGCATCCTGGCCAATCCTCTGGAACAGTTTTGGGCTATCACCTTATAATCGGTCGGTCAAAACTTCATTTGAACATAACTTTTGTTCTAACAAACCGTTTTGAGCGCTTTTTGGAAATGTTGTGTGCTCAGATCAGGGCTATTCAGGAATATCATTTTGTTGGGTTCCTGTATTCTTTTCTTGTATTTTGGGGGTATTTTAAAAATGTATGTAAGCTTTTGTATTTGAGAGATAATTGAGTTATCCTTGAGCTCAATTATCTCTCAAACACAAAGACTTTTGGGAAGAAACCCCTGTGTCCCTGATGTGAAAACCCCATGCTAGGGACCAGTGCATAAAAGCGGTGTGTGGCATAGTAAACTTCAGTTGTACTCCCAGAACTGTGTGTCGTCCATTACTGGGGAGGAGGTGGGCTATTTACTTGGCAGTATCTTGTTCATGATTCTACTCTTGGTGATCCAGCGGAGGAAAGTCCCTGTCAGGACTAGAGCTCCACGAAAGAAAGAAAGAAAGAAAGAAAGAAAGAAGGAAAGATAAAAAGGGAGAAAAGCGAAGTGTCGGACACAAAGTACAGTATTATTCAGAGGAATGGAATCTCTACCAAAAAATCCAATAGTAATTGCACTCAATCACATAAAAGGTGCAGGTATCAGGGTCACCTTTAAAGATCCAAAATCAAATAATACAAAAATATCAAAGGATGCTGCACTCTAACTTAGACGGGAATCTATATGATGCAATAAGAAAATTTATGGAAAATGAGCACGCATCATGGTGAGAGAGAAAGAAGTTAACAAATATAAATTGTTCCAGCAAGAAATAAAAAATGATGTTCCTTTTCAAAAAGAACACAAATGTGGTGTGTTATATATGCTGGCATATAAGCAGTATTATTGACATGTAAATTAATTATCTCATGCACGCAACTATTAAAATAAAGAACGTTTCTTTCTGAAGATGAATGAAGAGGTGTTTTTCCAATAGATTGGCATAAGTGTTTTAGCTATGTGAGCATTTATATTGTTAACAATAATCAACAGTGGCTTATCAGCAGAGGTTTGAAACAGTGGCATTATCAAAGTTTGGTAATGGTATTTTGGGCATTGGGCTCAGGGACCCATGTTTCCTTAACAGTTAATAGACATGGTGACCAGGATCAGGAAACTGAAGATGTCTTGAGGCCATGAAGGACTTTCTTTAGGCTTGGTAACACTCAAATTCCTTTACCATCAACTAGGTGAATCTCTGCATAAGCTGCTTTTTCAGATCTGCAAGTTTCAAGAGGTTTTATAAACTTTTACATTTTAAATTATGTGGGATGTTGCCCCTGTGTTTACTAGGAATGTGCATGGAAAAAATATTTGGTTCAGCATTCCGAAATTCGGGACTTCAGTACTTCGGTACTTTCGTTTGGCACTTCAGGAAAGTGTAGGGTTAGGGTAGGTTTATGGTTAGGGGTAGGGTTAGGGTTGGTTTAGGGTTAGGGGTCAGGTTAGGGTAGGGTTAGGGGTAGAGGTAGGGTAATGGGTAGGGTTAGGGTAGCATTAGGGGTAGGGTTAGGGTAGGGAAAGGTTAGGCGTAGGGCTAGGGTTGGTTTAGGAGTAGGGTTAGGGTAGGGTTTAGGGTTAGGATAGGGTTAGGGGTAGGACTAGAGGTAGGTTTAGGATAGGGTTAGGGGTAATGTAAGAGTAGGGTAAAGGGTTCAGGTAGGGTTGAGGGTGAGGGGTAGAGTTAGGGTAGGGTTAAGTGTTAGGGTAGGGGTAGAGTTAGAGGTAGGGTAAAGGGTAGGGTTAGGGGTAGGGTTAGAGGTAGGGTTAGAGGTAGGGTTAGGGTAGGGTTAAGGGTTGGCTTAGGGGTAGGGTTAAGGTAGGGTTTGGGTTAGTTTAGGATAGGTTAGGGGTAGGATTAGGGTAGGATTAGGTTAGGGGTAGGGTTGGTTTAGGAGTAGGGTTAGGGGTAGGTTTAGGAGTAGGGTTAGTGGTAGGGTTAGGGGTTGGGTTAGGAATAGGGTTAGGGTTACCTTACCCCTACCCTAACCCTGCCCCTAACCTTACTCCAACCACTAACCCTACCCCAACCCCTAACCCTTCCCCAACCACTAACCCTACCGCAACACTTAACCCTACCCCTAAACCTAACTCTACCCCTAACCTACTCCAACCACTAACCTTAACCCTACTCAAACACCTAACCCAACCCTTAACCCTACCCCTAACCCTACCTTTACCCCAACCACCAACCTAACCCCAATCCCTAACCTCAACCCTCTCCTGTTTTGCCACTTTTCAGAAATCGGAAGCACTTTGGCCCTTTGGAAATTCAGCACTTCGGCAATTTGGTTCTGTTCGGCATTCCGAAATTCGGCACTTCAGTTCGGCATTCAGAAATTCGGCATTCAGAAATTCGGAAATTCTGCACTTCGGAAGCATCCGAATATCCGAATTTTCCAAATTCTGCCAAATTGGCATTCAGAACTAAACGAATTGCACATGTCTAGTGTTTACCATTAGCCCTTTTGATATTAAGTCATTGAGTTGGTCCTTTAGATTGTAAGCTCATTTGGGCAGGGACCTCTTCACTTACTGTTTGTACATGTCATACATGTTTTGTTCAAATTAAATGTTTGTCTTGCTTCCTATTTTACAGCTCTGATAAATATGTTGGTCTTCTATAAATAATTGTCATTTCTCAATAGCATGTGAATTTGATAGCAAATAAATCCATTGAGTTGAAGCAGTAATATGTTAAAATAATTAAATGACTGCACAATAACAGCCTATACAGCCCTAGCTTGCCTTCAAGGGTACCTATATTTAGAAGCCGTATTATCTAAAAGTCCCTATTTATCTCAAAGCTGTGAGTATAAAAAAGATCCTGTCCCATAGACAAATACTAGTAACACTAAGAAGACACACTTCAGTGTCAATGGTTCCCTGCAGTCAAATAAAATATCATCATTAGAGATCAAACACAAGGAAATCAATTAAGAGCCTCTGACACGTGCGTTTCACCAAGTAAGGCTCATCAGAGGGGATTTATGCTTGCCTTGTCTGTTTTTATGTTATTTTAGGTGTAGGAAGTGACAGAAACACCTCATAGTTAGCATTGGACATTTCATTATACCACCTCCTAAACTGTCAATGTAACTTTGACAATTGGGAAGTACACACATTCATTTAATATATATATATATATATATATATATATACATATATATATATTTTTTTTTTTTTAAAGGTGATCATATTATTGGATTTGATTTTATTAGCGATAATAAAAGTTAAGTTCTAATTCACACTGGTATCATGTCAGTTCATACTCCCTTATTTGTCAGAATGTATTAAAAAACACCATAATTTTATGTATTTCTTTGTTTGCTGTTTGGGGTTACCTCCCCTCCCCCCTCTTTGATTGGTGTGTTTCTTACAGAATAGTTAATTGATTTAAATATCAGTTTAAATTATTTTAATGTCATCTCTGATTTTGAACACATATGAGTGTCTATTATCATCGTTATCTGCTATTTGTTTAACATTGTCTCTCTTTTTGCATCTGCAATCTGCATTTCCATGTGTCAGGCTACTACAGTAAATCTACAACAGTAAATATGACCTTGTGCCTTATTTAGCTGTAATAGCAATAAACAATATTAGTGTTGTCATTTGGAATCTAGGAGTCTCATTACTCTCTTTCAACACTATCTATGTTCATTTGAGCATAGTATTTCTCAGTATCTTTGAAACCGCTCAGTGGTGTTTTGAAATCTACAAAAGGTACTTTTTCATCACCCTGCGTAATATGGATGTCAAACTGTTTAAATGATTCAAGCAAACATTACAGAATAATCACAGTTAACACTCCATCACTTAACATTCCTAACATTTTTCATAATGGCTTTCTCTGCACAAATAACAGCCACCCAGGAGGGGTCCCTTAAGAATAATTAAGGGGTGGTCAATGACATATCCACCACTCCATTTCTATATTTATTTAGAGCCCCCACCAGTGCCACCAGCAGGTATATCATTAATCCCTTATCCTGTTTCATTTGCCTTGGGATTAATTCATGTGTTGGCTTGGTGTTACTTTCTTTTTCAGAATCACCATTTGGCCTAAATTTGTTTGTTAAATGAAAATGACTTAGACATATTAGTAGAAAGAAACTAGATAACAATGAACAATGTCAGTCTAAGGATGGAAAGGCCAGTAGAAAAAAGAGTATTAATTACTATGCTATAAATACAGCTTTTCCTCTTTATATTTTATCTTGCATTATAGTTTTGGGCACTATTTTTCCAGAAGAATATTACTGAAATATAAAAGAATATTAAGAAAATTAATAAGGGGAATAAACGATTTTTTTTTTTATGAACGAAGGCTAGAAGAGGTACGTCTCCTAAAGGGATATGATAATATTACACAAATATATAGAGTACTAATGCAAACATCTGTCTGGTGGCCTGTTCATTAACAGAAATATACAGGAAGTTATCAAATAAAACTTCAGGATAATTATATTACCAGTAGAAGAGTAAAAGATTCTTTATACCAAAAAACAACAAAATGATGGAATTCTGTCTAGATTATTTTAAGAAATTTAGGGCGAAGGAAGAGTTTTCTCACTTTACAGCACAATTAAAAATGTGTAGAAAGCTGAACTTTTTTCAAGCTCTATTACAATGAATATATAAATTATATAGTATTAAGATACAACCCAATGTATATTTTAGCAAAACACAGATAGATTGTGCAATTGTTTTTGTCCGGAATTTAAAACAATACCTGTGGCAAACCCTGCCACTTGGACTAACTATTCTGTGTGAATAGGTGTAATGCACCAAGGGAATAACCACACGAATGGACTTTAATAGTATTGTAATGTGTTTATTCGAATGTATGAAACTACCGAACGGAAGACCACCCCGGGGTGGTCGTGTGTTTCCCATTAACAGAGTGATACATTGTTGCGAAGGGAATTAAGTACCTGTATGTGTGGCCGCCATTTCGCCTACCGAACACATGGCGGCGGCCATCTTACGCACGAACAGCGGTACTTGGTTGTCGAACGCCTGGAACTCAAACCGGGCATTCGACTAACCAAGCACCGCTAAGACCTCCAGCGTGCTCCGACAATACGAAGCTAACACACGAACACCCCGGCGTTCGGTAGATAGATTCCCCTAAACGAGGGGAATCATACGAATGGTAACAATCGTATGGATGGCTAACCGTTCGGTATTTGTGGTTCACTGAAATAGACCGACCGCAGGGCCAGAATGCATGGAACTGTTTTCGGCTACTGAGTCCCTGTGGTCGGTCAAATCTTTAACAGGCTGTAACTCCCGAACCCCTGGTCCGATCTGGTTGAATTTCAAGTATGTTGCTCACCCAGATCAGACCTACCAGGGGACCCCTTATTTGTCCCTGTACCCCATGTAATTAGGGGACATTCAGAAAGTGGTGAAAACTCTGTCCCCACTAAGTGGTTTAAGTGCTAATCTTAGGGGAGGAGAGTGAGGGGAGGTGACCGGGTTACAATTGGTTACTGTACAAATTATGAAAAGCTACCTCCCTTGCATGGGAGAAATGCATAAAAGCAGACCTGTGATTAAAGCTATCAGTTGACTCCCAGACTATGTGTCGTCTAGTCCTTGGAGAGGTGGATTATGCTGTGTTCCTGTAATTTTGTATGCTGAATCTTTGTTCCCAGCGGAGAGCCCTTGGATTAACCCCTGCTCCTCCGCTACAATACCCTTACTTCCTACGTGGATAAATCAGTTATTGTTTATGGATTTGATTCAGATGCCGAGTATGCATGAATTCACCTAAGGTCACCCACATGATGCAACAGACAAATTATTAAAAGGCAGACGGCTACACCTTTCAAAATGGAAGATGACAAGAATTTGTATCTGTTTTCAAACATAAAAATATCTTCATCAGTCATCAGTATAAAAAGTATAATCTTGCTGGTTGTAAGCACATCAGTATTATACACTATTAGGGAACCGGTACTGGTAATTTCAGCACTGTTGTACTTAAATATTTTCAAACATACACAACACAACACTGTCTATATCTTTATATTCACATATATTAAATCATACATACATCCATTTTGCATTTGCACTCTTATATCATATATAATTTATATGTACATTTATAATTGTTTTTCACATTGACACGACATTTTACAACCTTCATTTTACATCCAGCTTTTTATCTTTAGCTCAGTTAATGTCCAGTAAATTTTCAGTATGGATGACGGTGAATGGAGGTAAATGACCGTGAAGGAGAATTTGGCACATGACACTGATTATAAATATGTTCATATTAGCTGTTCACATTCCATTGTGTTTTCAGAGGAAAACTTGCAATAAAACTTTGTAGTTATACTATACCCATAAAAAGCTTATTTTTAAAAAATAAATAAATACGAAGAATAATATCTTGTGCTGGTCTTACAGTTGTAGGAAGATGATAACATGATGGGAAACCCTTTTCTATTTACCAATCTTAGCATTTGTATCCGTAAAGCAAATGCAAGTCCTCATTATTCAAGATTTTTCTGATACCTCCACTCTTTCATCCAATGGTATTTTTCTATATTTTCATTATTTATTGCATTTTTCCTGCGTTCACTCTGCCATCCCCTCACTCTATAACACTGTATATGCCCTTATCCTCATGAGAGCACCATTTAAGACATCCCGAACACTTCTAGCAGACTAGCAGCAGCATGCATCCTATAAAAAATCCCAAAAGGTAGACATATGTTGGTGATTATAGTCCAGACAACAACTCCGTAGAAATTCAACTCCAGGTTGTTCTTCAGCTGTGGGCGAGCTCCAAATGCTGGCATGAGCCAAAGCTACAGAGATATAAAGTATGATAGTGTTAGTTAAGTTGTTTGCATTTACAATGTCACAATGACAGTCATTTTACTTGACTACAACAGAAATGTATTTTAACTTGGATTAAGTGGATAAATGTGTTAGTATCTTCCTACAGAGATTAGATCACAAATGTTAAATATGCACAGGGGCACTTAGGGCAACCGCTCACTAGATATTTATTGCAATAATAAAAAAAACTTTGCCATGGCGACCAGGCCTGGGATTTTTCGAGCCCTGCATTAGACCATTCTAATGTCTGTAATACTTTCAAAATAAAGTCAAATTGGTTGGTGGTTCGGATAAGGAGGTCAGGTATATATTAATGCCTAACTAGTTGTTGGCTCTGACTGCAGCGACACAAATGAGGAGTCATTCCAAAACTACTTTACGTCTTCTTAAATCCAAGCCTTTTTCACATCTGTAGGCAGGTATAGCACACGGACTCCAACTGCATCTGGAGTGTAGCATTCTGATTATATTATCCCTGGTTTCTTAGACAGAAACAGAAATTGTTTCAAGGGACACTATAGGCACCCAGACCACTTCAGCTCATTAAAGTGGTCTGGGTGCAATTCCCCAGTCAGTTTAATCCTGCAGTGGTAATTATTTCAGTTATTGATAACTTGCAATAATTTTATTACATGGTTAACTCCACCTCTTGTGGCTGTTTACCAGACAGGTAATAGAGGCACTTCTGGGTCGTTGGTCGACCTTTGGTCAACTAACTGATGCTGGACGCCCTAACTGACGCAACAGGACATCCAGCTTCATCTAAAAACCCATAGAGGCTGAGCCTGACCCAGCCCCAAGGGTAATCAGCGCTGGATTCTAGTAACTGACCGTGCTGCAGGGGGCAACGGAGGCGAGCGAGCAGGTGCCTAAAGGGGACTATAAGGCTAGGAATACAATTTTTTATTCCTACCCTATAGTTTTCCTTTTAATCCTTATGGATAAGATAATATAGGAAGGCAGAGGGCTTTGTTACCAAAATTTTGGCCCATAGTTTGATATCAGCATTAAGGACTGATATCAAGTAATACTTAGTGTACATTGTTGGATCCCTGCCTTTTTCAGCAAAGGTGTAACATGTGCAGCTTTAGGGTCCCTAATAAATATAAATAGTAGACTCACATAGTATGGTAATAATCATAGGCGTGCGCAAGGGGTGTGCCCCGCGGCATGCCTGTGAGTCCTGCAGGCACTCCTCCCCCCGTGTTACCCCTGTCATGGGGGGGGCAAGAGGTGATGGACCCCCCCGGGTGCCTGTCTCCGTATCAGGCATGGCGAGGGAGCTGTGTGCTCTCTGCTCCCTCTCACCGCACTCCGTTTGCTGATGCTGGGAGACAGAATATGACATCATATTCCGGCTCCCGGCTACTGTAGACTGCACGGGCGGCGAGAGAGAGCAGAGAGCACACAGCTCCCTTGCTGCGCCTGATATGGAAACAGGCACCTGACCCCAGGAACATGTCCACGCCAGCTCTCCAGGCTGGGTGGACTTTTTTTTATTAAAAAAAAAAAAAAAATTGTGAGTGTCTGAGTATGTGTGTGTGTCTGTGAGTGTTTATGTGTGTCTGTAAATGTATGTGTGTGTGTCTGTGAGCGTGTGTGTGAATGTATGTGTGTGTGTGTGAATGTATGTGTGTGTGTCTGTGAATGTATGTGTGTGTGTCTGTATGTGTGTGTGTCTGTGTCTGTAAGTGTGTGTGTCTGAGTATTTGTGTGTCTGTAAGTATGTGTGTCTGTGAATGTATGTGTGTACGTCTATGTGTGTGTATGTGAGTGTATGTGTGTGTACGCGTATATATATATATATATATACACGTGCACGTGGGAATCTTGGGAGAGTTCCCACACTTTATTCCCCAGGACTTGACCCCTGCCGGCAGGGGAGATCTCCGGATCTCCCCTGTCGGCTAATGCAGAGCCGGTGCTATCTGAGTGCCTGCTCTGTTCTAAGCCTCCATGGGCCGGCAGGTAGATCAAAGATCTACCTCACCAGCCCACAGCAGCATGGAGGCAGGCAGGAGAGGACCCGGGGAGCTCTAGACAGAAGCTCCGCCAGGTTCCTTTCGCGAGATCTGAGTATTGCCACAGCAACGCTCAGATCTCGCGAGTGTGAACTCTAGCCCCGCAAGCTAGAGTTCACTCTTCAATGGACCACCAGGGATGGCATGTGGCAGCAAGGATCCCCTCTCCTTACATAAGGTAAGAAGGGAGGGGGGATATTTACTAATCTGTCCCCACCTTCACAATCTCTCCAAACATACAGCACACAGCACACTTACAAACACACAACACCCTAACACATAGCACACTAACAGCATCCTCACAAACACACACAGCACACTAACAGCACACTCACACACAGCACACTAACAGCACCCACACACACACAGCACACTGACAGGACCCTAACACACATACACAAACACCCTCACACACAGCACACAAACAGCACCCTCACACTCAAACTGCACCCTCACACACAGCACACAAACAGCACCCTCACACACACAGCACCATCACACACACACACATCACACAAACAGCACCCTCACACACACAGCACACTAACAGGACCCTAACACACATACACAAACACCCTCACACACAGCACACAAACAGCACCCTCACACTCAAACCGCACCCTCACACACAGCACACTAACAGCATTAGCATCACACTAACAGCACCCGCACACACACAGCACCCGCACACAGTGCACTAACAGCACACACACACAAACAGCAGTGTATGTGTGTGTGTGTGTGTGTGTATATATATACATGCTGCGTGTGTTTGTGCTTTAGGGTGCACACCCTAATGCAATAGGCTGCGCACACCTATGGTAACAATATACAGAGTACAGCTGAGAGTTCTCCATGGTCAAAGGGGATTCTAACTGTTTCTGTTTGCCTGGAAAATCTGTATGAGCAGATACTGGTGAACTAATACTGAGATCAGCAGATGGATTTCCTCGTTAGAACAGTAGAGAGCAGTATGTGACAACATTAAAAACATTGAATATACATATAGTGGCACAATATTCTGAATATTGGATTTCACCTTTAAATCATTACATGTTATTACATGTCTCTAAGTGACTGACTTAAATGTTCTATTTCATTTCTTTACTGTGCTTAATAAAACATTTGTGAATGCCCTCATATTAAATCGTTGTCTGTATGTAAAAGCATTGTTAGTTAATACATGTTTTAACTTGTTTATTTATGGCATGTAAATAAAATGTGACTTTTTCCTCACAAATGTTTTGACAATTTTTTTCTGTTGACTAATTTTTGTGTCAATCATTTTTATTGAAGGTAATTTTTTCAAATATTCCGTAGGCATACGGTAAGTAAAACGGTAAATGGTACAAGACATATAAAAAACAAGTAACAGAAACAATGCTCATATTTTCTACTCTCAAAATCTGGAGGTTGTCTACATACGAACCCATGCCCGCGGCTTAGGGTCTGTCGGTAAATGGTTCTGTTGACTAATTTTTATTCAACTGGAGAAGAACATGATTAGACATGCTCACGCTGAGCAATGGGAACTAGGACTATGCATGGAGTGCTTCAGGATCACTGGAGGTCGGCCAAGCAATAAGTTATTTGTCGAGCTTGCCCCTTTTTTGGATGGTCCCATTGCTTTTCTGGGCGAACACACACATTGACGGTGACGCTCGTGACACCACTTGTGTCACTGGCAATGCCACTTTATGGATTCGCCCCCTGTCCTGAGTTCCTGAAGACCCAAGTTGAAAGGATGAGACCGAGGGGTTCGACATTAGAGTCATACATGTTGTTAACAAGCTGGTTGAGAAGGGGAAATGTCAGAGAACGAGTTAAGATGTATCACCCGGCATTCCTAAAATATAAAGCGAAAAAGATGGAGCCACCACAACAATTTCTGAAAAATTAGAAACTGGTTCATCAAGATATAGCACCACTGAAAGATATCTTAACAAAGTCTGTAAAGTGCCAAGCCCAGTAACCATCATCATAAAAAATCATCTAACCTACTATGGGGCTCATCCCACCCACACCCTTTGCCCTTGTCACATCTATCTAAATGATCACCTAGAGATCTGCCAAGGTTAGATAAATCAGGTGTAAGAAAAGCATTACTGTCTTCACACATAATGAATAGTGATGTCCCGAACGGTTCGCTGTTCTGTACCTCACAGTCAGCAGACACATTCCAGCCAATCAGCAGCAGACCCTCCCTCCCAGACCCTTCCACCTCCTGGACAGCATCCATTTTACATTCATTGTGAAGCTGCATTCTTAGTGAGCTGTCCAGGAGGTGGGAGGGTCTGCTGCTGATTGGCTGGAATGTGTCTGCTGACTGTGAGGTACAGGGTCAAAGTTTAATGATGAGTCCGCGGCGAACCGTTCGTGGCGAACCATTCGGCGAACCGTTCTGGACATCACTAATAATGAATAAAGCAATTCCACACAAAAAATACTTATCATTCATGCCTCACATCAAAACAAATGCATGAGTATACAAAGTACAAACGTCACATTAGGATGCTAATTGTCGCAGGACGCCATTAATATATGAGATGCAATTTTCTAAACTAATCCCTAATCTAAATATGATAACAATCTTGAGCAGTTCTGGTTGAAGGTTCCTATTGAATCCAGGACTGAATCTAAATGTAAATTCTTTCGATCAGTAAATTCTTTCGATCAGGACACTATATAATCAATGTCATAATAAACCCTTGAATCTCAGTGATAGAATCTCTCAATTAGCACGCCAAGTAGACAACCAGGAGGTTGACAATTGCCTCCTAGCCCTTCTGCTCTGGCAGTCAGAGCCACGCTATCAGTCACTTGGCAGGCTGGAGTTCCAATCTGAAATTCTGTTAACTTGGAATTTGTGTTTCGACTCAAACTCAGATTCGTCTCTGGGAGATCACGGGAAGGGGAAGTTATGTGCAGGGGGCTCTATACTACAAGTACTTTATCTACAGATACATGATGTAAAAAGCAATGTTAATGTTACTCTGTTCCTTTTTGCTTAAAAGACCTGCGGCTAAAGAATCCAACACTAGCCCCTAAAGCCTGCCTCTAGCAACACCTATGCTTTTACGCCACTCCCCGCAGGAAGACACCGTGCATGGTACTCTTGGTGCCGTATCCTTTACAATGATGCAAAGCTTTTTGTGGTGCTTAGTCACCCCTTAGCTTTAGTGTCCCAAAAAAAATAAATTGTACTTTCAGAGTGTTAGTTATACTGTGTAAATCAAAGAGAGTTATTCAGTTTGGTCTTGATGGACAAAACTAAAATAGTATAAAATTATTTCACCTTTATTTGACATTCGCATTCCAACTGAATTGGCACCACATAGGTTAGTACAATATAGTCTCTGGTTTAAAGTAAGTCATATAAATGATTAACACCAAAGGTATTTTGGATTTCACACTGATGCAGGGAAACCCGGTCATTAAATTCACTTAATTTTTCTAGTGAATTTACCATAATTAAATCTAGGCTATATATCTGATGATAGCACAAGCTAATAACTAACAACTGGGTGTGGACATACCTGTGTCAGGTATTTTACATTTATTTGCCCCCTCACTATTATTAGTGTTAGTGAGTAGGTAATCAAATATTTAGGGATGAGGGAGCCTATGACTTTGGCACCACTAGTCACGTGACCTGGGGTGGGGACATTTACCAATTTGTTAGTGTAATACCGTCATTCAATGTCCATGAATCTTTTGTTTTAAGGACCATACCCACTACCTATGAATGGGGGTAGGTAGAACAATGCACAGAGGGGTGGCCAATGGTATGTAAACCCATCTGTTATTACTTTTATACCACCAAATACCCATTTATGGGGACAATTGGCATGTCTCATCTATAACTATTTTGTCTTTCTCTATAGCTATCTTTACCACACCAACTGCCTATGGGTTTGGAAAAAGGGGCTGGCAACAGGCCCATCCTCTGTTATTAGATGAGTACCCCCCACCCAATACCCATGGATGGTAAGAGTAGGGATGAACAATGGAATGTGCTCCCTTATGACAATGTTGTGCCACCCGTTTTCCATGGGTGAGGTTTAGGATGAGACAAATGTAGACCTCCATTTTACAGGCGGTCTTTAGCCACTGGGCAGCAATAATATTTCATTATTCCCCCATTATAGTTATACCACTGCCCATTTGGTAGGTATACCTCCACCAGCAGCATGCTGGTTAGGTGGGATGTAAGGAAACATTTTATCATACTGATAGTTATGGGGGATCACAGTAACCTTCATATTCTTTTATTTTTATTTTCTGCTTTAGTTTTTGTGGATGTTGGCTAGCAAGAGCTTGCCAACCACCACACTATTAATCCATATGCTGTTGCAGTGTGTTTAAATATTTGCCGACTAGTGCAGGCGGTTCAGAGCTCTCAGGATCAGATTTAAGTTCTATTGGATATGGACAGGCTAAAATCCAAACAGTATTCTGTTCATTCTGAGCCAGTATGGCAAAATTGGTAAATAGTGTGAAAAATATCCAGATATTGCAATCCAAATGCCTTCAGATGAATTAAAAAACAAAAAACAAAAATGAATTTCCCCCCATCTTCCTCCCCAATCTCTCTCTCCTCGTCGTCTCAGAATGTATGCATGCAATCTGAGCTGGGGACACAGTCCAATGACAGGCCTGTTCAGAGAAAAGGCAGTGTTTACAATGCCTGCCTAGAAACCCCTCTAGTAACAATCACTCAAATGGCCACTAGAGGTGCTCTGCTTGGAGGCGTTAAACGTTCCCCATGGAGTTGCATTGATTCAGTGCATCTCTATGAGCATATGCTGATTTGCACAGCGTTGCATTTTTATGTGCATGCGCAATACCTTCTCAATGCTTTCCTATGGGAAAACATTGGCTTGGCTGTGAATATTAAGACTGATTATTATTTGTTTTTTATTCAAATGCACCCAGCTTCTCCCCAGGACTTTGAAAGGATCATTTACCCTAGTGCTTCCCCCCGGATCCACCACTGAGCCACATATCAAACCCCATTTTATTAAACCTCTCACATCACATGAATAGAGTGAAGGATAGGGAATAATTGTTGGCTTTGATACCATTAATTATAGCAAATCCCACATAACGATAATAAATTAAAGATGACTAAAAGCTTATTTGGCAATGCTACAAGGCATTCCAAACAGCACCGCAAATATGGGGAGCAGAAGTGGAGTGAGAGGGAATGTGTATGATATTGAAAGGATTCATAGGGCAAGGAGGAAGAAAGAGAGCAGGGCAGGGCTGAGGCGATGTCCTAAGCTGTTAGGAGCAAGAAAAGAGAATGTAAGAAGAGATGGAAGTGAGATTTGTTTGACTGTGCAGGAGGGGGGCTTAGGTGTAGAAGAGTGCGCTAAAGCAATGAATGCCCTTGGTCTAGATTTGTTCAATTCTTTTGGAGGAATTTGGATTGACATATCCAATATTTTGTTTTACTTTATGTCTTGAGAAAATGAAATCCCATAACTGGGTTTTTAAGCTATTTTAGGAACCACACGGGGGGTAATGATTAACCAATTGTAACGTATTGTTTTGTAAAAAGAATCATATTTTTACACTGAACACACTGTTCTTGAGTTTGTTGACTGTGAGGAAAAATTGGCTCAACTCATGTGCAACTAGATGAAAATTAGATATTTAGTGGCATACAACACTGCTTACTAACTAGAAACCCCTAGTATAAACTGGCCCACCACAAGACTGAGGGGTTTCAGCTCTCACTTGTACAAATTATAAGTGCGTGAACGTGGTTCTAATAATGAGTAAAACATAACTTTTATTAACAGTCTGAGTCTAAAATACTAGGTTGAGTAGTTAAATGATAAGTATATTAATTAATATGTAATGTTCAAAAGTCCTTGAGAAAAGTGACATAAGATCACAGTTGTTATTTCAAAGTGGGGGAAAAAGTAGGTGATTGGAAAATAATTTTGAGTTGAGATTTTTGTACTTACTATGATGTTACACAGGAGCAGAAAAAGAGAGATCTCCTGAACCATTCTTCTCTTCAGATTCCATGGGGGATCTTCTATACCTTGTATCTGACCAATGGCCTGCATCAGATCAGAGCTTGGAACAGTTGTTCCGGGTGGTTCTTCTTCTGGTATGGCCGGAGCCACAGCCTCATTTGCATAGATAATACCATTTTCAGGTACTTTCGCTGCATCTCGGAATGGTTGTCTGTGCAGTCCCTCAATAATAAAAGTGTTCTGAAGTGTAAGCTGCACAATCATGAGTATTGAATATACCAGGTTCAAAGCATTGAGGACCTCTCTGGGAGAAGTGGCAACCATGGCTACTATGGAATAGTAAGAGATGCAGTAGTGACCCAGTGCAGCCCCAAGCAGTAGGGCAACATCCAGTGTTCGAGTAGGATTTTTATGGCCATCCATGTCTCTCTTGTCAAACCTGTAAATGATGGAGCCAGCGAGGGAGCCTACTGACATCAGGCTGAGAGCTACAATGTTGAATGAATAGAACATGACATGAGCCATGTAGACTGTGTCTGCACTGTTTACTTGTACCTTGTAGGTGACAAGGGCCACAATGCCTCCAAGTAATACCCCTCCTCCAAGCAACAATCCCACAAATACAGTTTTGAAACAAAAAAACTGGCTTAAACGTTTGTGGCACGGCATGTGATCATCCATCTCACGCCCGACATTTTTCCACATTACATATGTCATAGCTGAGGCAAACAGGCTGTACTCAATGTTAAATGGATAAAGGTAATAGTATCCTGTTTGAAAGACGTGACACAAGTGGTTACTGCAACGACAGGTGTGTCTGTGAGCTTCATCAGAGTCTGCAAAATCATAAAATAAAAATACAAATATTAAAAACTAAAAATAGCCCTGAAACCTGAATGGATCATCTCCTTCTAGAATCCCATATTTACACCTACATACCATTTTGCTCATGATGTCCAAATGCTGAAGTTAGGTCGTTGATATCATGTTCCAAATCATGTGTCTGGTGGACAGACTCATCACTCACAGCAGCCATCCAGATACTGAGGTTAGTGATTAGCACCAGCATCAGGCCATACCTGGGGAGCAGAGAAGTTCTAGATATCTCACAAAAAAAAACCAACTAGATAAATTGCAAATGAATTAACATCCATGCAAATCATTTTTCGCAGATTTGGCCTTAGCCAGTCCAGAACTTTTGTTTTGGGCTGGCTAGTGAAGCTGCTGTTGGAGTTACATCTCCAACTGTTAGACTACATATTCCTAAAAATTTCACTGAAGTGATCATGGTACTTGGAGTAACCCTTTAAAGTTTGGGTGATCTTGTAAAGATGAAAAATATCTAAACCCTTATAACAATACACTACTTACATGTATAAATAAATTATCAAATTTGAATAGAGGTTACCATTGAGATTCAAATTATATTGTTTATTTTATATTATTTATATTATAATTTTTTTTATAAATCTAACATATATAATGCACTCTATCTATCTATCTATCTATCTATCTATCTATATATATATATGGTCAGTGATCTGAAGTGTTATGACTCTGAGTTATGATGAAATCCTAACCTGGTAATGTTGGTGTGAATCTGCACACAGTGTTTACTGGACCTCCACAGAAAATAAGTCTGAAAAAAGAGATATCAGATTTGAAACAGTAGAATATTTTTCACATTCATAAACATTGGGTTGTTTTTTTTTTTAAAGTAATTTAATAAGATTGATTGAATACGCATAATCTATACGGTCTAGAAAAGATTCCGTCTTTACCATCTGCACCCTGGTCTTACACTGAAAGTTAACCTTCCTAAATATATAAGTAAAATACATTATGCATATGCACCTTGTGGTACGCGTACCCCCCAGTGGTATGAACCAGTTCCCCAGGGGATATGCGAAACCGATTCTGTAATGGCTGAATTGACTTCTGCAGGGCCGATCCTGGGCAGTTGCACACTGTTCACGTGATTGGCTGTCTATCCAGTCAATCTCTGGGTTTGATTGGTGGCAGAGAACTGTCACTATCAGCTTGCCTGCTTCTCGTTCCGCAGGCCCACCCGCTCATTGCTTCTTTATTTGAGTGCGGAAGGCTGGTACTGAGCGAATCACACGGCAGGCTGGGATTAAAGAGGACGGCCCGGTGCAACATGATACATACTTGATTACCCTAGCTTACCACATATGGTGGTATCTCAGAAAGGTGAGAGATCTTCTCTCCTTTTGGTGCATTCAGAGAAATACAAAGAATTTTCTTTATTGTTCTCTCATGTGATCATTTGTTTTTTTATATATTTAATTACTTTTATAGTATTTGGGGGAAGGTCACTGCCCTCCCACCCCCACATTGTCACCTTCCCACACACTCCCCCTTCACCGGGATATGACATCATATTCTGGCTCCCACGGAATTAGTAAGGCGTGAGGGAGCAGAGCATGGAGATCAGAGCTCCCTCGCCGCCTCGGATTCCAATACAGCCACACGCCGGGGGTCCATAGGGTGGCCAGCAGGCCAGGTCTTAGATTCCCCCCATGACAGGGGGGAGCAAAGGGGTGCCCGAGTGGGCATTTGGGTGAAGATTTTTTTTCCGCCCCCTGCTTAGTGCCGCCCAAAGCAAATGTCTAGTTTTCCTTGGGCTAACTACACCACTGCCCCTATACACACTCTGGGTCCTTCAAACACACACTAGATCCCCTCCACATACACACTGCACCACCTACACACACACTACATTCCTGACATATACACTCTTGATCGCTTATGCACACACTAGATTCCTTGTAAGCAAACACATACTACATTCCCTAAACACACACTCTCTATAACCCCTACACACACTGTATCACCTATACACACACACTACAGCCCGTTTGCACACACTTGTTACATCCCCTATAAACAATATGTGCCCTATATACACACTCTCTACAGCAGCTAAATACACTTTACACCACAAACACAACATGACTGAAACCAACCTATTAACACAATACCACACCACAATTAGCTCACTCTATACACATTCAATCCCACAAGTAGGCTTCAAACACATGCACAATACTCCTGGCATTTTTTGTCTCCTGGTATCCCATTTATGGAGACACCAGAGACAAGTTTCAAGCAAACACAACGCAAGCATGGTATTACATTTGCTTGTGCTGTGCAGAACAAATACAGGGTATTTTTCTCATGCTAGAACTCTTCAGCAGAGCTCTGCGCATGGTCTGCTCTGGAAGAGCATTGAACCAACATGCTCACTTTGATATGGGGCGTGCTTGTCATTAGTCATGACAAAACACACCCTATATGACCCCGCACCCCTTACAGTGGGCCAATGTAATTAAAAAATGTCCAGGCCAAATTATTTTCCCAGTCTGGCCCTGCTCCCCACACACTGCCTTTGGCAGAGGAAGAGTAGAGGAGCCTGGGGCAGGGGAAAAGCATTGAAGTCTGGGGCACAGGATGATTTGGGGGAGCCTGGGTCAAAAGAGAAGCAAAGTCAGTCTGGGGCAGATGATGATTAGGGGGAGTCTATGTCAAAAGAGAATCAAGGAGAGCCTGGGGCAAGGTAGAAGCAGATAAGCCTGGAAAAGCAGGGTTACCTGGGGCAGAGGAAGAACTTGGAAGCCTTGGATAGAGGAGAAGCAGGTGAAACTAGGGAAGAGAAAAATGTGATATGGGACAGAGGAAGACATATAAATTTGAAATAGCACCAACTATATTAATAATAAATATTCTGCTAATATGATTGGTACAATTTATGGAAATGGGCTGCCAAAGGGTACTCAAGTTAAAAAAAGGTTGGGAACCACTCGCTATATTGTGAAAATTGGTGAATTGAAAGCCAAATTGCAAAATATACAAGAACAATAGCTGTATTGGAAAAAAATGTATCCTAATGTTTACCCTGTAGTTTTTGACTAAACTCAGTAGTGAAGTTTTTCTATGAAGACCATCTAGCAAATTACCTGAAGGATGATGAATGCACTCTGCACCATGGGATGAATGAGCTTGATTGGAGATTCACAATCAATATAACTGATGTAATAACCGATTTTAAACACATCCAGAACCAGACTGCAAATCCCGAAGAACACCAAACCACCTGATTGCAAAGACGACAAAGTTAAAAGGAACCTTTATATATTTATAGAATATACCGTGACTTAATGAACATCACAATCATCACAGGGTGCTATTATTAATACAAATTCTCAATTCTCAAGCTATAGTGCTTTAGGTGCTTGAAATGTATCTCTTTAAATATCGTAGGATCTATGCTGGCTCAGTCCTTTTTTGTGAGAAAAGCCCTGTTGTATTAGACAGCCTTTGTAGCTACTGTATGTATTATAAAATGACAGATTGAGAGTTTGCATTCTTTGAAATTGGTGCAAGGAGATGCATGATATGATAGAAACACAAGATCTCTATAACTGTGTTTTGAAGTGATCATGGTTCCAGAACCTTGTATGTGCATCATTTCAGTGTAACAGGCAGCACATGCCAATATATGTCATGTTTCAGCCACCAGCTGTCAATTTTTAATGTTGCTGTCTGTTTAGACAGTTTCATTAGACAGCCAGAAATGGGATTTCGCTGCTTGCTAGTTTTAATTATGTACACAAAAAAGTTAATGTATTTGAAGAGAGTGCTCAGCTGACACTGGCAACCTTTGAATGAATAGTAGTATCGGCTTCTGGAGTAACCATATGCAACTAGGCTGCCATTCTGTGAGGCTCAGCGCCAGGCGGGACTCAGTTAAGTGGCAAGCCATTTAAAAAAAGGTTGCTCCCTTACCAAAGATTAGTGCCAATATAGTCGGGGTATCATAAACATTACAGCATGCTGTAATGGTTGTGCCACTTGGAATTACCCTTTAAGATGCACTGGTTTTAGTATTTATTGTGTTCCTTTATGAAATTCCAATCTAGAGTAATTGGCATAAACTAAACCAGATAGGTTGGTTTAAAAAAACATGTATTTTTGGATAACACCCCAAATGTGCTTTTTTTTTTTTTACTATGTAACCCCCTAGTGTTGTCTGTTCTACCCCACATCATCAACGTATGGTGTCCCTTTACCTCTTAGCCAGACCGGCCCTGCATGTGAGTCCTTGTAGAGGACTGCATCTTTTTGACAAGAGAAGTAGAACTGGAAAACCATCCAAAAGGTTGAAAGAAGCATGAGGATGACCAGAAACACCAGAACCTCTGTGTCTCGTAGAGAGATGTTCTCAAGTGAACCACAGCTCACCAGTACACAGGCTAGCAGGCCAATATTAAGAGCCAAAAGGGCGGAAAGCAGTCGGCCTCCTTTCTTCCAGACATCTGAGTGTCCTGGCGTGATATGTACTTCTTTAATTTCAGTAAACTGATCTGAATGGGGCAATACAGTACTCGTTGTTACAACCTCTGAAGGTGTTGAGGGTAAATGTTCTTCACAGTTAGTTTTTGGACCATCTTGGTTTTCTTGATCAGCTGCTGCGTTGACCATCTTTTTTTGGTTTCCAGTTTAATTCCTGGTACAAATAAATACATATACCAATAAGTTAAAAAAAAATCAGTCAGAGGATCTGTTACCAGTGAAGGTGACTTACAAAGAGGTTTAAGTTATATTTATTTTGTCTTATTAGTGCATTTCTCCTATTTAACCTTTCACAACAATGCATACAAAGAAAAATCCCTTTATTGGCAGTGACCTGCCTCAATTAGATTAGCAGGGGAGAGAAATGGTTACCTCCACAGGAGCAGCTGTAACATTTTTAATTAACACGCTGACATAGTTCTCATTTAAATGCAAATATGTTCAATAAATCCCTTGCAAAATTCAGAAAGGTCACCAGACATACCGCTTAGCTCAACCGGACAAGCTCTACTACTTATTCATTTAAATGCATAGAATGCCAGCATGTGACAGGTCATTTTCCATATGTTCTCATAAAAGTTGAAACGGTCACATACAAAATGGGTTTCTCCCAAAATCAATTAATATTCCTTTCACCAGTATCCATGACGCATAATAGATTGATCACAGCTTATTTTATATTTTTAAAATCATTGCTTATTTTACTAAAATATTCATATACAGTGTGTTTATTTTTAGATGTTCACCAGTAATGACTACTGAGAGATCGTCACTAGTAGAAGGCAGACTAGATTTGGAACCTTTATTACTTCAAATAAAGCACTGTTCAATTGTAGCATGTTTGACCCATGACCATTAGTATCCCATATGTCATGTAATAAAAGATTTAAACCTTAAATCACACTTTTTGTTTACCATAAAACTGTCAGTTATGCTTAAGAAAACTTACATAAAACGCAGTGCAGACTCATCAAACCACTGAGGATTCTAGAGACTTCGCAATCTGTGTGATTTGTTTAAAGCTGCTGTTTATGTATTTGTTAGGGTCAATATTTTTTAAATGTCCCTTTTTACCTGATTCACCTAATTTCATTTTCAGATATAACCCTTTTAAAAAAATAAAATGAAAACAAGACAATTCTGCATTTCTAAAATACATACATCAGCACCCTTTAAAATACACAACAATGTAAAGACATAGTAAAAACATACATTAAATGCACATAACTATCATTTTCGATGTTTAAGTCTGGATAAAGCTCTTACATCCAGTAAAGTACAGAAATAAAACGTATACAGAGGTCATATGTATGTGCTCACACATAACAAAAGCTAAATTTGGTCACTTTCACCTTTCAATACCTTCAATGCCCAGCGGAAAAATCTTGTACGGTACCCACTCTATCACTGCACACTACGTAGATAGAATCATTGTGTATTCTATCTATGTAGTGTGTGTAGTGATAGTGTGTGTACCATACAAGATTGTTTGGAGCTCCAGAATGTCAATCATACATTTTATATGCCACCTAAAGCAACCTGTTCCACAACACCACAGCAGATCATAGTGGTGGTGGTGGTGGAGGGGGACAGAAAAAGAGGTTCAAAAGCAAAAACTGGCTTTTAGACAAACTTTCGGTGTCAGCGGAATGGACCAGTGCTCTGATTCTTCAGCAGTGCCTGATTGATGAAGAATAGCTGTCTGGTCTGATGCCAACATATGAACACATTTTCCAGGGACATTTGTAAAGTATGTACACAAACAGATCAACTCAAAGATATACACTGACAATAACACATATAACAACAAACACAGATATATACAGGGACATACTCATAAACACAGTACGCATATAGATATGCACACTGACAAACTGACACGCACAGAAATAAAGAAAAACATAGCATGCAGGGATATAATTTCTAATTAGTGGGGTAACAGCAGTCACTAGAGGGATTTCCCGGCTGTTAGGCGACGTTAGGCGACTTACGCTGGACGTCGTCGCGTTATGCATGTGGACGTCCAGCATCACCCAAACTCCATAGGAAAGCATTGAATAATGCTTGGGGAAATCCTAATGCGCATTAGGAGAGAAGGCAGTGCCAAGGGACATCTGCGCTGGATCCAGGTTAGTAACAGAAGGGTGTTTTAACCCTTTCTGCACCATGGAGGGAATTGATGGATGGTGAAGCTATAGTGTCAAGAACAGTTATAGAGGGTGTAAAGCTCAGTAATGTCCCTGCTCCTCCTGTGTCTGTCTGTGAGACTGGACAGGAAGAGGGATTGATCATTTCCCATCTACAGCCGCTGACACAGGTAACAATTTGCAGGAAGAGCAGTGACTGCATTCAGTGACGCACCTCTGTTATAAATCATAGGGCTGACTGGTCTACAGAAGACATACGAGAGTGAGTACTTTGCAAACAACCCTTCAAATTCCACATGCCCTAAACACTCCTTTTCCCTTACCCTAAATATAACCCATCCCAAAACAAACTCTTTCCTTAGTCCCACATTTAAGCACTCAAAGCCTAAACCTGAATAACCCTTTTGCTTTAATCCTAGGTGTATCTCCTCTTAAAACACTAAACAACCAATGTACCTCATTACTAAACTAAACACCCTAGTTCTAATAACCCCATGTGCCACTACTATAACACATCTTAAGCTTCTAATCATTTTAACACTATATCCCAAGTTATCTAACTCTGATGTTAACCCCTTTCAAACCTCACCCCCCTCCTTTTTAACTCTACCCACTTCTAACATTACCATCACGTTATTAGAGGGTTATGCCCTGATCTTAGGAGCTTCAATATAGATGGTTAAAGGGGTGCAGCCCACAAGCCCTTGATTTGCATCCAGGCTCCTGGGCTGCACTGCTGTTTATTTATTTATCCTTTGATATCCACTCCTAACATTATCTTTAACCCTACAAGCATTGACATATCTGCATACATGCACTAAACTCACAGATTGAAACATAATACATTACAAACAGAGATATACACACGTGTATAGAGAGAGAGAGAGGGGGGGGGGAGGAGAGAGCGATTTATATACAGTATGCAGTTATCAAATACCAATATATTATTTTTAGATGGTTTTATGCTTGTGATATTAATTTAATACTGTGACGGACCCACTGGCACTCCGACCGAGTACCTCCGCCAATCGATGCTCCTAGTGCTTGCCGAGGACTCCAAGCACTCCAACCGACACCATCAGCACTGCCGACTTATCCCATCCCCCAAGCATGAGCCAAGGCTTCAAGAAAGGGTCAATGAGGTCTGTTTAATGAGCACACAAAATAACAGCACTCATGCAGCAAAACAACTCCTCCTCAGAGGAAATCAAAATGACAGTTAAGTTCAATCAGTGTTTGGATATATGACAGTTATTGGAAGTTGCAGAACTGTGCCAGTACCATTTAAAGGGCCAGAACAGTCTTTTAAAACACCAATAAGTCCAAATGGTGTTTCTAACTGGCAAAATCTCCCAGGGACCATAGTCATACGGCAAGAGGCTGGTAACTAGTCCTCTCCAGGCACAAGTGGCGAAGAGCACTTCGTCACAAATACATTAAACACTGTAGTAACCAGGACAGCTAAATGTAGTTGTTCTAGTGAGTATAGTCAGTCCCTGCAGGCATTTTCATCTAAACACTGCCTTTTCAGAGAATGGTGCATGAGGCCAGCTGGAATAAAGGTTAAATAGTTACATAGCTGAAAAGAGACTCGCGTCCATCAAGTTCAGCCTTCCTCAAATATGTTTTTGATGTTGATCCAAAAGAAGGCAAAAAACCTAGTCTGAAGCGCTTCCAATTTTGCAACAAACTAGGAAAAAATCCTTCTTGACCCCAAAATAGCAGTCAGATGTCTTCTTGGATCAAACAACTATTACCCCACTAATTAGAAATTATATCCCTGTATGTTATGTTTTTTGCAAGTATTTTTCCAAGTGCAGTTTAAACATCTGTATAAACTCTGACAAAACCACCTCTTCAGGCAAAGAATTCCATATCCTTATTTCTCTTACTGTAAAAAAACTTTTTCTTTGCCTTAGATGAAATCTCCTTTCTTCCAGCCTAAATGTGTGACCTCGTGTCCTATGTATAGCCCTGTTTATGAATAGATTTCCAGATAATGGTTTGTACTGGCCCCGAATATATTTGTATAATGTTATCATATCCCCTCTCAGGCGCGTTTTTCCAAACTAAAGAGATTTAAATTTTTTAACCTTTCTTCATAACTAAAATGCTCCATTCCTTTTATCAATTTTGTAGCTCGTCTCTGCACTTTTTCTAGTGCCATGATATCTTTCTTTAGAACAGGTGCCCAAAATTGCACAGCATATTCAAGGTGTGGTCTTACCAGCGATTTATAACGAGGCAAAATTATATTTTCATCTTGAGAATTTATGCCCCTATTTATACATCACAAAACCTTACTGGCCTTAGAAACGGCAGATTGACATTGCTTATTGCTGCCTAATTTGTTGTCTATAACAATTCCCAAATCCTTCTCGTGTGTGGTTATCCCTAGTTCACTACCATTTCGAGTGTAAATTGCTTGTGCATTCTTAACCCCGAAGTGCATAACTTTGCATTTTTCTACGTTAAATTTCACCTGCCATTTTAGTGCCCAGTCCCCCAATCTATCCAAATCCCTCTGCAGCAATGCAATATCCTGCTGACATTTTATTACTTTACAAAGTTTTGTGTCATCTGCAAACACTGATACATGGATTTCAATGCCCATTTCAAGATCATTTATAAATATGGTAAATAGAAGCAGTCCCAAAACAGAACACTGAGGGACACCACTTACCACTTTTGTCCAGCTTGAACATTTACCATTAATGACAACTCTATCCTTAAGCCAATGTTCTACCTAAGAACAAGAATATTCATCTAGACTAATTTCTTTTAGTTTGAAGACTAACCTATTGCGAGGAACCATATCAAATGCCTTGGCAAAATCCAAGTAGATCACATCCACTGCAACACCCTGATCTATACTTCTACTTACTTCTTCATAGAATGCAATTAGGTTAGTTTGACATGACCTATGTTTCCTAAAACCATGCTGATTATTGCTAATAACACAGTTCTTCCCAATGAATTCCTGAATATTATCCCTTAAT